TGTGCAGAATGTTGTTTTAATTATTGTAAGAGATTAACGAGAACAGACGAGAGGAAGCGACTCGGTCCTGATCTTGTAATTTCGTGCCAAGCTGTATATACTGGGATATAATCTCACAGCGTGCTGTGGAAGCAATACCTTGATTACCAATCCTTTCTTTTGTACAGGACCTGAGCCGTCCTCCGCCTATTAGACTATTGTTATTCTTCATATTAATATTACTCTTTTTGCTGTTGTTATTCTTGCCGTTCTGTTGCTCGTTGTGGCTCGGGGCGTGAGGGGCCGGGCGGGGCTCGGGAGATGGACAGTGCGACTGCCCGGGCTCCGCCCCGGCGGCGCCGCCAGCACTCTCTCGGCCCGGCGCCAGGGATCGGAACCGACGCCGGCGGAGGAGCGGAGCGAGGGCCAGCGGGCGCTTGGGACACGCCTCTGTTTCGGCCCGGCCTCCCCCCTCTCTAAACCCCCCTCCCCCCGCCCCCCTCCCACCAGGGCCTCTTGCGAAAGGCTGGGCAAGGGGCGGGGGGGAGGAGTCCTGCTGAGGACTAATTGGTTAACGAGGAGCTGTTGAGCCTTAATTAGTTAACGAGGAAATACCACGTGACGGTACACACTACGCTGGTCTGTCCGCTGTGTCGGTTTCAAGTGGACGCCGGGCAGAAGGACCGCGCGGCACGCACCGCGAGGGCGGGCCGGGCCGCGGGCTGCTGGGACCCCACCTGGCCTTCGTCTCGTTTTTCGGGAACCTTTCTTTGACGTTTTTTAGACAATCAAGCAGCGCTGGAGAGCGCCCTGCTCCTCTCGCTCTCCCTGGCGCTGTCGTTGTTGTTTTTCTGGCGACGGCGAGTCGAGGACACGCCGGTCTTTTAGTTGGTCTTTGTTTTTTTGTATCGAAGAAGCACTACAGCACTGCAGAGAGATGACGAGGAGGATTAAACCCTTCTGATGGTTCTTCTGTCCCGGGCCCGCATGGGCGCAACCCGGCCAGCTGGCGCTGGAGAAATGCTGCTAACTACATGGTCCTGTTTTGGGTTGCTCTGTTCTGGAAGAGGCCCGTGTCCTCGGCGCTGGCTCTTCCTCCTCTTCCTCGGTCGCCGTTTTCCTTTTCTGATCTTTGTAAATGATGTACGCCGGATTTTAACAACCTTGGATGTAATTGCTTATAAAACGGAAAAAACCGCCTGCGTCTCCATGAAACAGTGTAGCAAAATAAACCAGAGACTTGTTTTTTCAAGGAATCCGAGCACATCCCGTGTCTGCATCTTTATGTCTCTGTCGGCATCTGCGTCCGTATCCGTCTGCATCTCTTATCTTCGTCTGCATCTGTATCTGCATCTGCCCGTGTATGTGTCTGCACCTGCAGCTGTCTGTGTGTAACTGTCTGCATCTCCAGCTGTATCTGGCTTCATCTGCGTCTGCTCTCTGTATCTGTATCTCTCTGTGTGCCTGTGTCTGCGTCTGTGTATCTGTGCAGCTGCCTCTGTGCGTCTGCGTCTGTGCATCTGTGTCTGCGTCTGCGCATGTGTGTATCTGTGCGTCTGAGTATCTGTGTCTGCGTCTGTGCATCTGCATCTGTGTGCATCTGCATCTGTGTGTCTGCGTCTGTGCAGCTGCACCTGTGTGCCTGTGTCTGCATCTGTGTATCTGTGCAGCTGCTCCTGTGCATCTGCATCTGTGCGTCTGCATCTGTGTATCTGTGCAGCTGCATCTGTGTGTCTGCATATCTGTGTCTGTACGTCTGCGTCTGTGCATCTGTGTCTGCGTCTGCGCATGTGTGTATCTGTGCATCTGTGTCTGCACATCTGCATCTGTGTATCTGTGTCTGCGTCTGTGCGTATGGTTCTGTGCCTGTGCGTCTGCGTCTGCGTCTGTGCACTCCTCTGTTCTGTTGCCCTGTGTGATGCTCCTGCAATGGCAGGGTGCTGGGGGCGGGTGTGCATCTGTGCATGGGGACCTGGGAGCATGTTTGTCAACATTGGGGGAAAAAATTGTTTCATTCTCTTGACTCTGGTGTGTCTCATGGCTGGGTTGTTCAGCTGGGGCAGGTAAGGGGGGCACTGCCCATCTCCCGAGTGAGAAGACAGAGGCAGAATGGGTACGTTGTGCAGGAATGCTAACCCGTTGTCCCATGAAGCTGATCTTCCGACAAACAGCACGTTCGTCAGTGCTCCACTTGGGCCATCGAAAGTAGCATTTGTGCTTCTTTCATTCCTGACACCTGATATGAAATTCGACCCCTCATTTCTCTGGCATCATGCTGCAGGCACTAGAACAGCACCTCCTGTTGGTTGGCAGGTGTAATCACATCAGGATGTTCCCTGAGGTGTGTTCCCCGCAGTCTCGGTCCAGCTGTGTTTGACTGGATCGCTGCCTGCTGCCAGCCTGCTACT